AATCTTCCTTACAAGGTGGATTATGTAAAAGAGTTTTCTGAGACTATTCTAGTCGAACAAAACATTCTTACAAAATTATCCTATAAGCTTAAAAAGAAACTTTTTAATATAAAAAACAATTTTTCAAACGAACCCTATATCTGTCAAATCTCACATGTAATGTATGTGATTTCGATACAGATGAAACCTCACTTGTAATTAAAAGGATACTTATCATTTCCTTCCTATCATATTCTACCATCATTAGTTGTTCCTCTGTTGTATAGTTGACCCGCCTCTTTTCTTCCTCCCACCATGTCAAATCTAGTGCCTCCACCATCAGTGGCAGACCCACTCAAGGTCCTAGTGGATCACTTGACCCACCATCTTCAACTTGGTTTTTTTTTTTTTTTTTTTTAAAATTTAGAATAGAGTTCCAACAACGATCGAACAATTGAGAGAGTTGAAATTATTTTGTCATTTGATATATTTAATTTGAAAATTCTTTAAAAATTGTTATTCATCATATATGTGAGATTATTTGAAATGTTTTGAGAATTGTTATTTATCATATATATGAGATTTGTGAATCTATGGTAGTGATCATATGCATGTGTTTTTGTAGAATACATAATATTTTTGTAAATTTTTAATAATTTTGATTGTATCCCACTAAATCTAAATGTATGCGTCCGCCACAGTCCACCATCATGTTTCTTTGGATTTTTCTTTCAATGCAGTTTTTTTGGAGCATTTCCTCTTTCTCGTCAAATTATGTCAAGTTGCTAGAGAGTTAGGGATCAATGCTGCAATTCTCTCTTAAAACAAATTTTCAATTTCTTTAAAAAGAGAATAATCCCTCCTCTTATATATATATCACCTCCAGCACTGCATTTTCTCTCACTAAACATCCACACTCCACTCCCTCTCTCATGGCTTCAATTTTTCTTCAATTATTTCTCTTCCTATTCTCAGTGACCCAAATTGCGGCTGACAAAACAGCTAAAACTTACATTATCAGAGTAGACAGCGAATCCAAGCCGTCTATTTTTCCTACACATTATCACTGGTACACCTCGGAGTTCAGCGACTCCACAAGCATCCTTCATGTATACGAAACCGTTTTCCATGGCTTCTCTGCCTCGTTAACTCCGTCGCAAGCCGCTTCAGTTCTGAAGCATCCCTCAATTCTCGCCGTATTCGAGGACCGGCGGCGCCACCTCCACACCACCAGGTCGCCGCAATTCCTTGGGCTGAGGAACCAGCGTGGCCTCTGGTCGGAATCTGATTATGGGTCCGATGTCATCATTGGACTTTTTGATACAGGAATATGGCCCGAGCACAGGAGCTTCTCGGATCTGAATCTGGGCCCTGTTCCAAAACGCTGGAAGGGAGCGTGCAATACTGGGGTTAAATTCACAGCTAAGAATTGTAACAGAAAAATCATTGGAGCGAGGTTTTTCTCTAAAGGCCATGAAGCTTCGTCTGGTTTTGGTGGAATTGCTGGCGGAATTAATCAAACCATCGAATTTAAATCCCCAAGAGATGCCGACGGCCATGGAACTCACACGGCGTCGACTGCTGCTGGAAGGCATGCATTCAAGGCCAGCATGGAAGACTATGCCTCTGGAATTGCTAAAGGCGTGGCACCAAAAGCAAGGTTGGCTGTTTACAAAGTTTGCTGGAAGAGTTCCGGCTGCTTTGATTCCGATATTCTGGCGGCATTTGATGCGGCTGTTAATGATGGAGTCGATGTCATTTCCATTTCTATTGGTGGCGGGGACGGAATTTCTTCTCCATATTATCTCGATCCGATTGCTATAGGAGCATATGGTGCGGTTTCTAGAGGTATATTTGTTTCCTCTTCAGGTGGAAATGATGGGCCTAATGGAATGTCAGTGACTAACTTGGCGCCCTGGCTGACAACTGTTGGTGGCGGCACAATTGATCGGGATTTCCCGGCCAACGTAATTCTTGGCGACGGAAGGAAACTCTCCGGTGTATCTTTATATGCTGGTGCGCCATTAAACGGTAAAATGTATCCTCTGGTTTATCCAGGTAAATCCGGGGTGCTCTCTGCTTCACTCTGTATGGAAAATTCAATTGATCCTAGTTTAGTGAAAGGTAAAATTGTGATTTGTGATCGAGGGAGTAGTCCTCGTGTTGCGAAAGGCTTGGTTGTTAAGAAGGCTGGTGGTTTAGGAATGATCCTTGCTAATGGTGCTTCCAATGGTGAAGGTCTAGTGGGTGATGCTCATTTACTTCCAGCTTGTGCTGTTGGTTCTAAGGAAGGAGATGCTATAAAGGCCTATGTAGCATCAAATCCAACTGCAAGTGCAACAATTAATTTCCAGGGCACTGTAATTGGAATCAAACCGGCTCCGGTTGTGGCCTCATTTTCCGGCAGAGGGCCGAATGGTCTGAACCCAGAAATCTTGAAACCTGATCTGATTGCACCCGGGGTAAATATCTTGGCTGCTTGGACCGATGCAGTTGGTCCAACCGGTTTAGATTCTGATACTCGAAAGACTGAGTTCAATATTTTGTCTGGCACATCTATGTCTTGTCCTCATGTAAGTGGGGCTGCAGCATTGCTTAAATCTGCACATCCAGATTGGAGCCCTGCAGCTCTAAAATCAGCCATGATGACAACTGCGAGTTTGATTGATAATTCGTTCAAACCAATGATCGATGAATCAACTGGAAAACCAGCCACTCCATATGATTTTGGTGCTGGACATTTGAATCTTGATTTAGCAATGGATCCAGGGCTTGTTTATGACTTGACAAACAACGATTATGTTAACTTCTTGTGCGCGATTGAGTATGGTCCTAAGACAATTCAGGTTATTACACGATCGCCTGTAAATTGTCCAATGAGGAAGCCATTACCAGAGAATCTGAATTACCCATCTATCACAGCATTGTTTCCGAGCTCATCGACTGGAGTGTCAAGCCAGACATTCATTAGGACGGTGACAAATGTTGGGGAGGCAAATTCAGTTTACGGATTGAAGGTCGAGCCCCCGAAGGGGGTGAAGGTGACCGTTAACCCCGGACAGCTTGTTTTTTCGGAGAATGTCAGAAAACTGAGCTACTATGTAACAATATCAGTCGATAGCAAGAATCTAGTATTGGATGATTCGGGTGCTGTGTTTGGATCACTTTCTTGGACAGATGGAAGGCATGTTGTTCGGAGCCCCGTTGTGGTTACTCGAATAGATCCTTTGTAAATTGGAATAATCAAATCTCGTTAATGGATTTCGAGCCTTACAGAATAAGGTTATGTAGCACCAATCTAGATGACATGCAGGTGATATGACATTGCTTTTAAGGTGATCCGTCAATTAACGACATTTGCATGTTATCTAGACCGTTGCTTAGCATCACTGATGCTAAATTCAGGCTTATATTATCATAGGTAGCTCATGGCCAATGAGATGATTATGTATTTTGCCTTGTGTTTTGGACCTTTTTCTATGTAATTTTTCCCTTCTTGTTTTTTGATTTTACTATTTCCTTCATGTTTTCTGTATTCACTTTTTATAGAAATCAAGTGTTGTTTTTGCTTGTCATAGTTACAGTGTTGAGACTGGAGAAATGAGGATTTCCTTGTCTTAGAATTTGATTTTTATTCTTTTCAGATTGTTCACATTTTCACTCACATCTCCTTTTGTTTTATATTGAACGTGTCCGAGTGGAGTGATTCTTAGCTGTTAAAGTGAATGAAACCATGCCATGGAAGTCGTCGTAGCTAAGATTACGTCTAGAGGTAGGGGCAATGTCAAACCCTGATCCACTGAAAGACGGGTTGGCCCTAAAATGATTTTTTTTTTTTAATAATAAATTACTCTGTTGCATGCCTGTAGAGCGTGGGTGGCTATTGAAAAATGTTGGAGGGCTCTAATGATAGGGCCTGATTGATTCCCATTGATTTAATGTATGGTTTGCTATAAGATAATTTTTAACTACACATTTACAAAATAAAACATTTTATACGTATATAAAAAACTTTTCTCTACTTTTTAACCATACATTCTTTTAAAAATCACTATTAAAAACTCATTTTCTACATTTATGAGTTTCAAACAAGCTCTAGTTGTGAGAGGGGCCTAGTAGCATAAACGATGGTTATTATAATATTTGTTGGATTTTCAGGCTTGTATCAAAATGGACATGATCAAAAATCACTATTGAACATGTGAAGAACCAGTAGCCTTGGTCGGGAGTGGGGTCGATCAAGATAGAGCTGGGGCCGGGGCGATTTTAAATGATATGATTGTTAGGGCATCAGTTAGGGCATAAATCAAGGCTGGAAATCCCTCTCTCCCTTGCAAAGCAAAAGCAAAAGGAATTGGACATAATTACATGATGGTCCCATATTAAATGCCAATTGATTCTCTAGCATTCAAAATATATGCCATACTGTGAACGATGGATATTTTGTAAATGATTAGGGAACTCATACATTGAAAATAGAGAAAACTATACCTGAATATTTTTACCTTTACCATCTAATTTATCTGTCATTATGATCAACAAATACTATTCACTTATTTACCACTCATTTATATCTGAATTTATAATTTAAGCAATTTAAAAACAACTCCCAAACACACTCTTAAGCTATTCCAATCATTCACCCTGCTAAACCAACTTCGCCAATATTCACCAAGTGGGTAACATTACATAGTTAAAGTGACCCATAGCATAGAAAATGACCTCTCACAACATCATTTGTTAATGACAGGACACAAAATAGGTTGTCAATACTATATATATAGGAATTTGGGCAGTTCCCTGGTCAGGAGGACACCTCAGGATCCGACCATTAATGCCAAGAAAAATGCTCCCTTTCAATTATTTGAGTTGTATACCAATGATATGAAATATGAAAATCTAAGATTCAAATCATTAATAACCTAAAATATGAACTCGGAATCAATTATATTAATCCTCCAAGGCAAATAAGAGGAAAAGAAGACTGTAATTCCTACACAACTAACTTGTAGAAATTAGGCTCCCATCTGAAATGAACTTCCTTGATTAGCACATAGTAGTAAAACATAAGCCAATCTATATTTCATCCCAACAATACAATATTTATTTCAATATGTATCAAGAAGTTTCCACAATTTTCCGCTAATTCATGATTCATCTACTTTCCACATATAGCCTCAGTGTGTTATTTCAAATACGAATTACTGTGCTCCAGGGCAGAGCCCAGATCTGTTTTATGATTAATGTAGAATTAGCTTCAAATGTGTGGAAAAGATGATTGATGTCCCAATTTATTTCATCTTTTTTCTGACTTCATATAAGTAGCTCAGGATCACCACAGCTGCAGCAACAGCAACTCCAACAGCACTTTGAGACAGTACAGTGCCATCTTTTACAATTGCCTTTGAACCAGATGGAGTGAACCCTAGTTCTGAAAGTTTCTTATGAGATTCTGCATAATCTTTAAAGAAGGCATCTTCATCCTGCAAGCACCAAGAATTGCAAATTATCAAATGAGCACAAAATGATAAACCATCTTACCTAAATTAGTTCATTGACGAAAAAATACATCATCTTGAATAGTAGGGTGAATTTGGCTCTTTAAACCATAAATTTACACCATTCATGCTGCCAAATAAATTAACCCCTACGTGTAATAAAGGGATTAAAATTATATTCTAACAAGGAACGAAAAACTTGAGCTTATTATGCGAAGCACGTGCACTATATGTTCCACTGGAAAAGTTTGGCATGTCTGGTATACCCAACTCCTTGTATGGGTGCATTTTGTTGAGAATTTGAAACCTGAATTTTATACTAGAAAAAGCAATAAAATAGCAAGAAGAAAAATAGACGTACAATAACAGGCAAGTTATAGAAGTTTTTCTCAATGCTAGAGAAAATGCCCTCTTTTTACCATTGTAGTAATTCACTAAGTTGAAAAAAAAAAGTTTACAAGAGAAATTGCACACCCTCATTCTGTGTTTTTTTTTTTTTTTCTTAATGCTCTCTCTGTCTCTCTTCTGGTGATGATAAAATAAATTATAATGATGACTCCTTGTATTAAAAATAAATAAATAAAAATAAAAAATAAAAAAAATAGGGAAACCGAAATCTTAACAGGTTTCTCCTTTTTCCTTTCAACGAATTTTAGATTCATCAAATAAAACCAAAAAAGAAGGGCTTTGAAAAATTTTCATTTCATACACGAAACTGATTCAACTAACTTGGATTGTCAGAGAATTAACTGCACATGATGATAAAGCTGCATTAATCATGCAGTTGAACCACATATTACCTTAGCATACAGCTCAACATAACGACGAAACTCAGGATCCTCCAGTAAAGCTGTATCTGTTGGTAGTTTAAGCAACCCTTCACTTTCCCCCTTGAGTAGTTCCCTGATATTAGATAGAAAAAAGAGAAACTTACAATAATATGGAAAGATTATGAAACTGATATCAAAAAAAAAAGAAGGTTAAATCTATCCAAAATGCTTACACAAAATATGAATTGTCAAATTTCAATGGCTCTTTAGTCCAAGGCCCATCAAAACCTGATCTTTCAGGATGCGCCCTTCCCTGCAAAACCATACATATCAAGTTCATCATGTTTCCTTTTTTCCAGTCAATAGTAACATAAAAAGAGTTTCTTGGTTTTCATGAGATATTTTTCCTGCTTTGGAAATGGTCTAAGGTATGATGCAAAGAACATTAGGAATAGAGATTACCAGGGTATGGCCACCTGATAGTGCCACAATGTCCTTGTCAGATAAACCCATCCGGTAAAATACCTCCCTCAGATGTGGCACACCTAGCATCAAAATACAAAACAATATTTAAGATCAAACTCCAAATCAGTTTTCAATGTAAACACATACACAATAATTTCAAAATGCTTCAAATAAGCAGTCTGCTTCCTAAAGTATCACAAGTAATGTGATTCTATCAGTTTAAATCTAAGACATGAGCAGATCATGTAAAAATGACCCTTGAAAAGTAATATATGCAAGTGGAAGTTGAATCAAGTCAAAAATACCTTTGAACATCTTATGTAGAAGAATATAAATACTAGAAAAGAAAATACTGTACGTCTAATATGATAAACCGTGACTATAGAACAACTGTAATGCAACATCAGATAGAGTGGTTCGTTCGAGTTGCAAATTCAATCTATAGTAGGCAAGATAAATATATATGGCAAGAAAATTCAAATTTCAGAGTTCTTAAAAGAGGAAATAAAGAAAAACAAATACAAATGCAAATGCAAATATTCAGATTCAGGAATTTTTCTTCTTTGGTGTAGAGGACAGTGGAAGCAGGGGTGAAGAGGTTATATTTCAAGATCTTTCTCTTAAAAACTAAAGAGATTCACTCAAAAACCTTTTTTAGCATCTGGAAGTCGCCCTTCCCTAGGAGAAACATTTGAATCCTGAAAGATAGATAAGATAGCTAGCGTCAACATTGTTATTGTTGCCATTAATATAACATGTCAGTATGAGGGAATCCAAGTAGACTAGAAATCGATTTCAAAGCATGAATTGCCAGATTTGTTGCACAAGACAAATGGATATCTCTATGTAAGAGAGGTTGGCATACCTTTCTACCAGGAACAAAGTTAATTGTGGGGCCCCCAGTTACCTCAACAGCAACAACACCAGCGAGCTATAGTAAAAATATGTCATTAGCATGTCAGTTTACTCTCAATTTATCCATCAATTAGAGCCCTTTTTTTCTAGGAAGATGTTTGCAAATGCAGAACACTAAGAAAAAGTGAGGGCAATGCCTTCAGAAAAAAATTAAAGGAAATGACATTAGATGATGTTTGGGAATAATACGTGCAGCAACTGGGTTCCATGCACACATGGCACTAACTCAAAGAAAGATGATTCTCAAGTCCTAATTTAGGAGATTCCTTTCCTTTTTCCCCTCACCCTATTTGTACTATAAATTGGGAGCTCTATGCATAGCTATTCAATATAGAAATTGCAGAAAATTATTTCTGCTTTCATGCATGTTTTGAATGGCACATTTTAGACACTAAACTTGACTTACACCAAAATATTCATCGTATTGAAATCATATGATTCATTGTTCGATATTAAGATTTTACTGATTGTAATCACTAAGGTGAGTTCCCAGAATCGCGAATCAGAGCTAACGAAATAGTCATACAGCATCTGATTCAATTCCAACCAATTCATATCCTTCACTAGATCCACAGATTCTATCTGGTTTAATTCGACCCATTCAATTCTCCTGATATTGGCCATCATGATAATATCGAATTTATTGCATTTAATATCTTAGTCATCCAATTCTTTCATTCTGACTGACTCTCTTATTGCCATTTTAGATAATCAGTAGTTCATCACTTAAGAAGCAATTATTTTTCAAGTAAACCAAACCTAAAAGAATCAGCAACCTACATCTAATTACCACTAGCAGCTAACATAACCACTAACCAGCACTGAATAAGTCAGTAAATGAACAATTAATTTCTCTCCAAAAATTTAAGCTTTTTTTGCCTAGTGTTATCTCAACATGCAAACATGACTAGTGTATCAAAAGTACCAACTACCATGCAAACATGACTAGTGTATCAAAAGTACCAACTACCAAGTCTCAATTTATCAATTTTAATCCTTAGTTAATACCTCAAAATTTATTATACTTCATGTCAAACTTATGATAGTTGTGGACAAATCCAGTACGTGAATTGATCAAACATCCTCACACACTTCGAATTCCAAAAAAAACCAGTGAACCCTCCAAAAGAATTTCAAAATTTGACATAGCTACCTGGTATAGGTCTGCGTATGTAATCTTTCCACATTTGGACTTTACTTGTTCTGCAATTAGACACAAAGCAACCCATCAAAAAAGTCCCCATTCAATTTAAATCCTAAATCATTTTCGTGCTACAAGATAGACTGAAATATGTTTGACTATCAAATTCACACAAATTTCTTCCACAAAACGTCATTTTTCTGCCAAAAGTTGCAGAATCAATAAAATCCACTAATAATGAGAATTCAAGCCATAGTTAGTCAAAGAAATACTCCACTGGACAGTAAAAGCATTCCAAGCAAAAAAGCTAGCACCATAGCAGTACATCCTTCAAATAAAGAAATAATTCAAGGTAAAGCAGAAGTTAGATCCTGAAAACGAGTAAACTAACCGGAAAAATCGAGAGCAATTTTCAATCCACTATTAGCGCCATGAGTGTACTCCTCCTCGTTGCGAATCGAACCATTAGGACCTCCGGTCTTCGTATTCACGTCATACGTCCCCGCATCATGCCACCTTTAAATTCAATAAAAAAAATCAAGTAATGAACTTTTACACGATCATCATTTCTGGGGAAAAAACCTAAATAGTAATTAGATAGAGAGAGAGGGTACGCTAAGCGAAGCATGATAGGGGCACAGTTTTTGTTGGAGATAAGAGCGCGGAGTTCACGGCGGGCCTTTTCGATTTCCTTAAGGTAGTCCGCATCGACTATAGGCTTCGCCATTGGAATTCTGAAAATCGCACCTCTGAGAGTTCGATGATACGATGAGATAGGATAATTTGAAAAACGACTAGCACATAAAAATAGGAGAAATAGAACAGAGTCAAATAAGGAAAATGATGACGACTTGACCACGAACTGGAATATTGGGCTTTTATTGGGCTGATTGGTTTCAAATGACAAAACAGCGTGGCCCTCAGCGTTCGGCCCATTTTATAATGGGCCGTTTGAGTTATCGCGTAGGTTTTCATTTTTAGCACTTAAGAAAAATCTATCTCTTCAGATTACATTTGACGTTGTATTTGGTGCAATCAAGCCCTTATTTGAACCCCTTTTTTTCATTAAAATATATTTTCAACAGTGTTTTGACGTTATTTCAATAACACATTTTTCAATAAAATAATATTACACAAAAACTCAAAACTGTTACCTATTTTTTAACCATCATTCTCCATCGTAACGCTATTTCAAAATGCATTTTTTAATAAAAATAGAGCTCCAACAACCCCTATGTTCCTCCTTCCCATGAGGTCAATCTACATTAGCATAATAATGGTAAAAATATAGTCGAAAAAAAATTTCTTAGTTCTTTTTCTTGACGGAGGTCGAGAATTAAATTCCGCCTAGTGAAATTACAACATGATAATCAACATATTCTATACATGCATCTATTGATTTCAACAGTATGCAATGAGATGGAAAACAATCAGAATAATTTTCATGAAGATTAGTCGATAAAATGGATTCCACATTTTCCCATACAACATGATTTTTATTTCTTTCTTTCTTTTTCCTCACAAAGAAAATACAAATACAGTAATTCACCTCACATCAAGCTCCAGCCGCGATAATGTACACAAGCAACGTACAAAGATTTTAATATAACCATGACCAAAATACATAGTATATTTGTAAACACAATTCTCTCCGCAGGGTCGAGGTGGTGTTAAGAAATCAAGATGATGTACGCCATTGCAGCTCAATTTGAATCTTTCCATTCTTTGAATCTATGAGATGGTATTTCTCATTGATCCTTTTGTTGTTGACAACATCTGCGAGGCTGATATTGACATAGCCCAATGTTTCCTAATTTTTGAAACATAAAATACAGACAGTTAATCACCAGAAACAAAGATTGAGAAACAGCTAGCAATTCGAGCGTCTAATATATGCACTACATGTGCAAAATGAACAATCATAAATGTTCTATTGCATTAGACTGTCTCCTTCCAAATCGTTGTAGCAACCAAGGTTCAATACAGAAGGACCAAACTTCTAAAGCTTTTCGCCATTATTTCTTTACGTCCTACTATATGCAATATCCATACATTGAGTTGCACAAAAAAATTGTTTTGAGCAACTATTTGTTCTGAGCAGTATTGCGCAGTAGTGCAAGAAAATGTGCTCAATATACCTTGGGATGCAGCAGGCCGATTCTTGTTGAGGTGCTGAGTACCTCCACATGTAGCTTCTCTTTCAACGGAGGTTCTTCCAACATGAATGTGAACTCCTCTTCCCATCTTGGATCTCTGTTTTTCTTTACGTGCTGTATTAACGAAAGAAATCATATGTATGCATCAAGAGCACAAGACACAATTACAAACTATGCTAAGGCTATGGTGGCATTGAAACAAATGGTGGACTGTTATCAGTGAACCAGGAACAAAAGAATTTACTTTATTTTAGCTGCAAATCTTCTAACAGTTTATGATATCTACAATAAGTCCATGCCATGGGTTCTATTTTCATTTTTTATTTTAACTTCTTTTTTTTTTCTGTAAATTGTCGAGTGTTATCTAATCCTCCCTACCAAACATGTCACTGATTGTTTAATCACATAAACATGAAGTACAGATGGTCTAGAGTGCGAATCTTGGTCATTAGTATCAACAAAACAATTTATAAGTGCATTACCAACCAAATTTAAGAGACCAGAAGAGCTTCTTTTAGCAAATTCAAACAAACACACGAGAGAAAAAAGTTAGTCACACACCTTAGTTTTGCGCTCCTCTCCTTTGAAAATGATACGCACATAAGGGTTATTGTGGTGCTTTCCTTCAACATCTTGAGCTTCATGGACTACAACCACTAGTACCCCTCCACCAGGTGGTGTTTCTTCAGGAGCCTTTTGTAATGGATTGTCAAGATCTTTTGACATATCATCCTCCTTGAAAGGTTTGTAAGTCAGCTCTAACACAAGCTGACCACGAAACTTATCATCTTGAGCATCATTTTGATTTAGGTTCTTGAGAAGATCCAGTGTCATGACTTTTGGTTCATAAGGGGTAAGTTCCTTTAAAGGAACTACATTCGTGCCCATCTTGTCATGTTTCCCCACCTACGTAGTAATATAAACAGCTTGAGTACATAGGAGAAAAATCAGGAAAAAAAAAAAAAAAGAATGAACAAATTCAACCTGTAATGGGAAACATATACCTGTTCCCAGTCATATACAATAAGCTCCAGAGCTTGCGATTCTGGATCTTTAACAACAATACTAAATTCCTCATTCCACTCAGGGTTCAAATTCTTATGTTTCACTGCAGTCTTCTTTGATGGAGCCTTAGATTCAGTGATTTTCAGTTTCACATACGGATCTGATGCACCTAACAAGTCTTTCTTTCTCAGCTTCATTGCCCTCAGAACCTTCACATGGAGAATCCCAACAGGCCTCTTCATAGCTCTAAAGGTTCCAAGAGAATTAATTAGTACGCGTATGAAAGACCCTCCTGGAAGCAAGTTTTTTTGCGATCTTATCATCTATATATATTAAAAAATACATACTTAGTAGGATCCAGAATTTCCACTTCTAGGGTTTTAGGCCACAGATACATGTTTGCAACTTGATCTTTAATAAGCTCCTGAAGAGAAGATTCACACAAATGTTAGCATGCATATGATATGACTAATATCATAATTAAATCGGTTAAAACAATTGTAGCGCAGAAATGTCAAGGTACAAAAGTTTATGTCCATAAAGCTCATGTAAGCTTATGAAATTCCAGATAACAAGTTTTAAGACATAGGACGAAAATTTTTAGCTGAGCTTAATAATATAAAGCTACTTTTAAGTAACTTATTGTCTCCAAACACGATTACTTACTTTTTTCTGAAATGTAAATAAAAAATACCCTACCATGAAAAGAAGTAACTTAATTTCAACTTTCACAAAATAAAAATTATTCATTTTAGAAATTATTTACTTATATGTTAACATTTTAAGCTTAGCTAAACATTCTCTAAGAGAAACGGGGGACATAATACAAAAAGTAGACTAGCCTTATCTTTCATCAGCCACGCTAAGACATATATATATGAGTTTTCAGATTACCTATTCAATGCAGAATAGTTCTAAATTTTGATGCATCGATTGTTCCGAAACAGCATAATATTGGTGGAATCATTGGTCATATTCGTTTTATTTGCAAATGCCACGTTTTTCAAGATTAGACATCAATACATCATAAGCTTTTATATAGAATTGACTGAAAGGGGATTGTACCTGTACAAACGTGTAAAGACCAGGAATTGACATAAGATCAGCCCCAACAACATTAAGTCCAAAGTCAACATGTGGCTGCAAAAAGAATGGAAGCTATTCAAGCGAAAAATAAACAAGCAGAACTCGTGTATGCGTTTAGAAGTATTTAAGTATATTAACCGAGTCTTGAAAAACAGTACAATTGATATTCCTACATTCTTGAACTTGTTTTAAAAGCATCTCAGTGAATGTATAAACTTGAATTCGATGCATTCGATGAACATTATCACTCTTACACTATTTTAAAAAAACAGTTCCTGAGGATTCAAATATTTAATGTGCCTCACAATTTGATTCTTAAAGAACCATAACATACCTTCTCCATGAGAGAGACGACAATTTTGGCAAAACAAGGAAAGCTTGGAACAAGGGGCTTCAAGGTGATGCGTGGTTGAGCAAAGATTTGCAAATCCACAACCTGCAACATTTAAATAACAAATTCATATTTTCAATCTAAACCTAAAACAGTGTCAGAATCAAAGATAAAAGTCAGCAATACACTATCTCATAGCATTTAGATGAGCACACAACCTGAACAGTTGCTTTTAGACCGAATGCTTTAATAACCAATGTGACATTAGGATTCCCTGCCCATTTCAGAGTAGGCTCCATAATCAATTCTTTTTCTTCAGTAACAAAAACCTTCATACCTGCCATGAAAAGTTTATCTAACAATATAAAGAGAGTTCTGCATAATGAAACATATTCTCTGCGGCCATATAAAACTTATAACATAAAAATTCCCAGTTCTTTCCAATCTCTCTCACCAGTAAAGGCTTCAAAAATCATAATCTTTTTCATTCTTGTACTCTTTCCCCTGTTCGAACTTAGCTATTTCTTGAAATTCACTTTATAAGGCCATTGCTAAGAATTGATAAATTTCTCTGTTCTTTCTTCTTTCAGTTTCCTTTAGCATGCGAAGATTGTAGCTTCTGTAGGAGGACTGGAATCACTACCATGAGATTCTGTTTTGAACCTAATTCATACTTTCTCCACATTCAAATTTGTGCATAAAAATAATTCACGATAACCTAAAACACTACAAAGAAACTTGTCCTTGATACATTTGCTAAATCTCTAAGGCATTAAAGGGCCAAACATAGCTCAAGACATTTTCAGCAAAGAGGCTTTCATCCATTCCATTAAACTAGTATTAGAAGTATATTTGCAGCTCAAGCACTGTTCTTGGTGTAAGATTATGTTTTATCAAATATAGTCCTCTATTTAGCAATAATTTTTATACAAGCACATATAATGCAATGAACTGATGTCTTTTACCTTGTACAAAATTATTTCTTCATGTACATTTAATGTCAAGACCAAATTCTGATTTATGCTGAAATGGATTACTGTATAAAACAATAATTTAGCCAAATTAAAAGTAATCACATGACTTACCTTGAAAAGTGGGCGGCAGAGAACCCAGTGTTAATTCTTCAAATTCAACTGATTCAATTTTATATTTTGGAATTTGTTCAGCAATAATGGGATTCGCAATATTTTTGGCCGTCTTGCAAATTGCCTGTGCAATGTTTTAAGCATAAGTATTTGATGCAGAAAGGTAAGAAATGGAAGTCATAAATAAGGTTAAAAGTTAATGACAAAGCAACAGACAATACAAAACAGTACCTTGTCCAGGAAAGGCCACATAACCTCGAGGAACTTGTTAAGCCAGTCAATCTTCACTCCAGAAGATAAAGCAAGGTGAAAAATAAACATTAAACGGCGATCAATAAGAAGAAAAGAGTGCAATAGAAGTGATTAAATAACCAAATACGTACACGGTCATAATCGGGATTTTTAACCCAAAGGGGTATTTCATGAAGCAATCGCTGCAAACTTTGAGAGTCTTGCTCAGCCAAAGGACGGATAACAGGATTCTGATCAAGCGAACAGTTAGAAAAACTTATACATGATTTGTGTCTTAACTTATCGAGCATTTGCTCTCTTCTTTACACGGTTATTCCATTCAAAAGCAACTAAGGGATTCCAAAACTAGGAAGATTAAAGAACAGAAATTCAATGTACTACATCTTTATTTCTTTCTAAGATGTGACCTTGAGTAAAACATTCTACAGGAAAAGAATTTTTAAAGTAAAATAGTAGTACATTGCCAGAAACTGGTTAAATCCATCTTGTCAACTATACAAGAAGCGTGGCTGAATAAGATAGGCACTGTTCAAAGTTTAGCCCTTTGGGTAGGGCATTGTGGTTTTCCCTGACAAAATAAAATAATTATTTGTATTCAATCTTCAGCAAGAAGGCCCATCATCCCAGTTTTCTTTAAATAATACATATGGGAACCACAACTTATCTAGTTGAGATACTCCATCATAAACATGATGCGTTTGATGTCATTATCTAGTAATGCTGCTCACAGATTGTACGGTCCTCCTTCATTTGGAATATTTCTCGCTAATCGAAAAACAATTCCAAAAAAAATTAAAATCTCTCTGAGCCATTACTGCAGTATGAAAATGGCAATAACTTGAAAAAGCTATAAATAGTCATATCACCATTCATCATTTAACCCATTTCAAACAATAACATGTCAAATAAGGTAGATAGCTAGGCTATGATGCTTCTTTAAAAACACTATGCCTTGGTTTGGCCCCAAAAATTTTAAAACTCTTTTTTCCCCAAACTCATTTCCTATGGGAACCACAACTTTTATCAACTTTTCAATCATAAATTTAATCAACTTTTATCAAAATCTACTAAAAATATGATTTTTAGCCAAACCAAATGGCGGCCATATAAATGGCGCAA